TGTAATGCATATGCAATTTCTAAACATCTGTACTGTAGGGTGTGTAAAGGGGCAGGGTAGAAAATAAGTCTTGAAAAGGGCCATTTGGATGTAGAGTTAGAAACTTGAATGTTAAATACCTGGATACAACCAGGAGCCAGAGGCTCACTCCTGTAATCCTAGCTACTCTGGAGGCTGAGATCTGAGGATCATGGTTCAAACCCAGCCCAAGCAGGAAAGTTTGTGAGACTCTTATCTCCAATTAACCACCAGAAAACCAGAAGTGGTGCTGGGGTGCAAGTAGTAGAGCACTCACCTTGAGCTGAAGAGCTCAGGGACAACACCCAGGCCTAAAGTTCAAGCCCCACAACCAAAAAAAAAACAAAACAAAAAAAACAAACAAACATGGAACCTGGATACATCATAAGCACTTGCAGGTTTTTTGAGAAAGTGCTTGTGTGTTCCTTGTAGCAATATGAAGGATAAAGTAGGTGTGAGATGAGAGACTCAATAGGAGTTTGTTTCAATAGGAGAGGCAAGAAGGCAACACTCAAGGGGACCTACTTGTACACAGTGGTAGCTGAGGAGGTAAAATTTACAAAATATAATGTTTGATAAATTTAGATATGAGCTAAGATTTAAATGTCTTGATAATAATATCACCCATCATACCGTTGAGAGTTTATAATGTGGCAGACATGTTCAGAGCTTTTGTTGAATGTGCCCTTTGTCTACATGCTAGGGGTGAAGGTGGGAGGGGAGGTGTTCAGATGTGTTCACTCAGACAGCACTGGGGAAGTTTCACAATGAATCTGAGGGATGCGGGGTACAGGATTGAGAAATAAGCTAGAGGGGGTAAAATCAATTTTGAGTAATTACTGAGCTGCTTACACTCAACTGAGCAATTGGACAGCAAGACTAAGAGTCAAAGCTTCCATGGCCATCAGCTTAAGGTGAGAGTATTGAAGTGTGTTTACTCAGCATATACATGAAGCACGTTCATTTAGTGCCATCATGTTTGTGAGGTAAGAGCTAGTAATGGGAGAGGAGTGACCGTGTCATGGTAATGGCAAAGAACAGTAGGAGAGAGATGTAGAAAGAGAAACACCATGAACCTAGGGTTCAGAGAAGTTTGAGGTAAAAGAATGGGTCTATAAGGTGGTAGAAAATAAATGATGCATAGGCTGACTTTTGGATCTGGCTAGAGAAGAGGGTAGGAGGTAGTAGGAAGTTTGCGTGAGTCAGCTCTGGGTAGTAAAGACTGGCAGGCCAGAGAGGACCTAGGCTGGAGGGGCCAGCGGGTCCAGAAGTGCTGAGAGATGTAGTACTCAGAGGAGCTAAAGTCAGAACGCAAGTTACAATACAGTAAAATATTTACCACTAAAAGTTTACCCAGTCTCACTTTGTGTTAGATAATTGAGAAGGCTTTTTGTTTGTTTGGCAATATCTCAAGTATGCAAAAACAGCAATTAATTAGATGTAATTTTTGTACTTCTAGTTAATAGAATGTTTGGGAACAGAAATAGAACTGTGTTGGCTTCTGTTGTGTCTAGTGAGGCCTAGGTAGGCAGGCTGAGGTGGTGAGCCCCTGGGTGACCAGGTATAGCTGGAGTCAGGCACATACTATATTGTGCAGGTGGAAGAGAGGGATGAGTACAGAGTGTCCAAGGAAGGGAAAGTTGTCCAAAGGAAATCCATATTCTGGGATAAATTAATATAGTGATAGAAGAAACTGGTAGATCACTCAGAGAGTGGGTAGCATTTGAACATGAGACTAAATTGTGCCAATATTTCTTAGGGTCGCATTCTTCTTTTGTTTGGTAGTATGTTAGATACACATGCTTCCCATTTCTGACATAGCGCATGCCCTCCACAGAAAATTCATCTGTTGATTGTCTTGTATTCTCCTTCCTATCCTCCACTCTGTTCTGGAGTCAGGGGTAAGTTGGCATGTCTGAGATATTGGACCAGGATGGTGACACCTCATATTTCTAGAGAGGAATAAGCTGGAATCATTAGTGAGAGTGCTCTGCAGATTTTCCACCTTGCCACCCTTGCCTCCTGGCTGCTGCTATGCAACCTTGCATTACACATCTTTGCTCACTGGGCACCAGAACCTTCCAGCGAGCTAAACTCCTCCTTTGTCATGTCTGTGGGAGTCTGTCTTCTTCTCTGTGGCAATCTGAGCTTGGGTTCATTTCAGTAATGGCTTTTCATAAATAACGTGTTTAAAGAATGTGTCTACTGCTTTGCATGAAGATTTTTTTTTTTAAATTTTACTACTTCCAATTGTGACTTGAGGTATTTGTGGGATTGTGGATTTAACTTGGTGACATCTAGAAAGGAGCTTGTTTCTCTGAGAATTACTCAATTTTGCAACCAACCCTTTCTTTCCCCCTTCCACCACAGAAATAGAGATTAAATTCATTGCATTAAATTCACTGGGTTTTACTGAGTGCACACCTTTTTAATGGAACCAAAGCAAAACAATAGTAATGCAGTTCGAATTCCAAGAGTAAATAACGTCCCTTGTTAATCATTATAGTGAAGTGACAATATACCTCTATGAGTGAAGTTTCTACTTTCCAAAGTATTTTGTAGCTCTTAACTCTTAAGGCTGTTTTTCACACTATGGTAAATATAGGTGCCTTACTTTAAAAGGTAAAGGTTGTTTCTTCATCCTTACAAACTCCCTACAAGGATATGACTTTGTAAAACAATTTCTTGTCTCTTCAATAGAAGTCAATTTCACATAAATAAATATACTACTAGACCTTTGCTTCAAAATTTTTTATTCCTAGGCGCAAGCCAGGGACATATTCTTAGAGACTAACTTGGATTCTTATTCTTTTTATATCAGACGTTTCTCTTTCATAGATTTTAAATGTTTCTAGTCTTACTTAATTTGCTCAGCATTTACACTTGTTAGTGTAACTAATATCTGTTGCTTAAAGGCCCATCCCTCATTTCTTTCACAGTTAAGGGCTATCATCCTAGATATTTTGTTTTATCTCTCTCCCTCAGCAAATAAACCTAGGGTCCTAAAATAAAATAGAAATAGAAGAGGACGGTCATTTTATTGTTCATAGTTGGATCCTGCTTGTGGAAATGAAACTGACAAATCTTGCAAATATATAGAGCCAGAGGGAAAGAGAGCATGAACTATATTTCACAGTATAAAGCTAGTCTCTTTTTTCATGCAATGTCTTGAAGAATACTAACTCATCAACTAATTAATTCATCTACAGCTTTATTAGGAGTAGTTTTATTTTGTTTTTATCCATAATTTTACTTCTTTTTCTCACTTGTTAGTTAATAGTATATTTTATAATGGGACTTAAATTCTTCCTTTTAAATGTTTTCATTAACCAGTGCCCTTCGCTGTGATTAGTATTGCCAAGAAAATAATTATTTTTATTGTCTATGTCAACAGAAAATTATTTTCTGTTCTGTTACCCATTTCTTTGAAGTCTTTAAAATGAGCAATCTGTTCTGAAAACCCTTAAGTGCATTTCAGCAATTTTTCAAAGACTTTGCCAGCATCTCTAAGCACTATTAAAATCACCATCATTAGAATAGGTTTCACAGCAGCTCAGAACCCAACTGGAAATAATGGCCTAGGCAAAGCACAAAAGTTTCAAAGGTAAGCTGGTTAAAAACATTTTTTCAAAAAAAGTTAGACCTAACAGTTTGCAATGGTGAGTGACTTTTTATTTCCTTTTAAGGTTTGCTCTGTTGGAATTCAAAACTTCCAGACAAAATAGTCATAGTAGCTTTCCAGGTTCTCAAGGTAGTGCCTCCCAACTCCAGCCTATCGCCCAAAGCACGTGTCGTTCATGGATTCACGTTGATCTGACATATATTCAGTTTTGTTGGTATTTTCCTTGGGTCAAATGACATGCCTATGATTTGACTACATAATTTCTATTATAAAAATTACCTTTTTTTGTATGGACTTTTGGAGTTTTCACAGGACATACTTTATAAATAATCATTCAGTGGCATGAGGAAAATGGGTATCTGAAGGCTTTGCTTTGTACTTTTATGTTGCCTCATAGCTGCATGATTTCAGGGCATTTTCTGGGCCATCATCTCCTCTGTAAAAGGAAGTGCTGAATATGTCATCTCTATCTACCATGAGTTTCTCTGAATCAGTGGCCACCGGCCATTACGTTCATTTAATGTTCATCTACTGTAGGGCTTTGTTTGATTATGTCTCAGTAGCTCTTCCCGTTGTTCTATCCTTTTCAAAATTTTGGTTTTTCAACCATGAAGACATTTGGAAAGCATTCCCTGTGGGTTAGATCAAGCTTAGAAAGTACTACTACTTCTACTACTGCTACTACTACTACTACTTTATTATTATTATTATAACAATAACAATATTTTTAGAGCTCTCAAACATGTGACAAGTGTATTAGGAATAGACTGATGCTATTTTGTTTTGTCCAAGTAGGTTGAGCAGAATCCTGGGAATGCAAGCATGATGTCAGGTTCTGAAAAAGAGCAAGGTGGCAACAGAAGGGTATTTGCTGTGTGGATGTAGGTCTGAGATCGCATACGTCTAGTCTAGCATGCTTCATTAGGTTTTCTGATTGCCCTGCCTCTGCTCAGTCAGCAGGAAGTTGCTTCCTTATGTTTCCTTAGGCAAATTTGAAGGCAATCACATGGCCTGTGTGTGTGTGTGTGTGTGTGTGTGTGTGTGTGTATGTGTATGTAGTTACTAGCATAGTTGTTAATTAAGTAAAAGTGAAAAACAAACTTGATCATTAAAGCTTTGAGTGTGGCGTTCTTTCAAAATGTTTTGTTCTGCATGTGTTTAGAGAAATATGTTTTGGAAAGAGGGTGAGTGTGGGAGTCCAGAGGCTGTGTAGGCTTTTTGGATCTTCTAGTTAACCCTGAATAACCACTTTGGTTATTTCAGGGAAGTATGTGTGTGCTATGTCACTAAATTATAGCATGACCGGTAAGCACTGTGCACACTTGATCAGTGAAGAATGGTATGTTTTGTTTGGATTCAGGTGAGACGAGTTCCTGGGTCAAGTGGTCACCTACATAAAACGGAAGACGGTGATTGGGAGTGGAGTGACGACGAGATGGATGAGAAAAGTGAAGAGGGGAAAGCAGCTGCTTCTCAAGAAAAGGTAACTGGCGTTGGTGACTATCAGCCAAGCTGTGTATATTGTCCTCCCACTGTACTTTTGAGAATATTAATAGATATGTAATTGTTTTACAGTCACGAAGAGTAAAAGAAGAAAACCCACAGGTAAGCAGTGACTACTTATGTATATGTGTATATGTACATATCTATTCCTATGTTTATTTTTCACTAGTTTATTCTTCACTGTGGTATCAGTGTCTGACCCATCAGCAAGAGAGACTTGGAGATCTCATAAAGGAGAAAATAAAAGGAAAAATATAGACTTTATAAGTTCTGATTCTGTCTTATTTACTATGGATGGGTCAAATCAGGTCAAATGACTGTATTCTCTGAGCCTCTTCTTCCCTCCATCAGATCGAGATGATCAGAGTACTTAAAAGGTGCCACATATTTTGTAAAGTATACTCCTTGGAGGCCTTGGCACTGACTAGATAATAATTACTCTTAATTCATAGTAGTACTGTCATTTAGAAAATATAGTAAGCATAATACACTTAAAATTGCTGCTGGGTTTTTAATTTACAATAATGCTTCTACTAAAATGAGCAGAAACTTCAGGTTGAAGTCATTAGTCTTGATGTTTAAATCTCGATGTTTAAATCTCCTGGGTACTTGGAGGCAAGGAGCACTCATTTAATAGCTTCCCTTTGAGAACTGGTCATCTTTTGATTAAGAGATCATTTTTTTTACTTATTCCATCTGATTAATTATTTTAATGCCTAATGATGAGTATAGCTCACTAATTCTCCTAGAGGAAATTTGAGCATGTTTAAGTAGCTCTAGATATTTTACACCCCTGGTAATTAATGTGTACCTTGATAAAGCCTCATTATAGAAAATAGAAACCTGGGACTACACATGATATTCATCCCATTTTTTTAAGTTAGCAGACATTTCCTTTTGTTCAGCTGAATAAATCTTGTTACCATCATGTTTTAAGTAATAGTAGCCAGCTGAGATTGGCAGGAGATCCACAACAGAAACACGTCACTCTCTTCCCTGGACTTCCTTCCGTATACCCCGTTAGACTTTTCCTGAGATGTTCAGTGCACCTGCTGCCCAGTGATAGCTTTCCTTCAGATCTATCTGACTTCCTCCTATTTCTTATATGGACTACTCTTTTCATCCCAAGCGTGAAATCTTAGCTTAGGTTAAGAACATATTCCTCTCTGGAGGGGCACTCTGTTCAACTATTGGAGTGAGATATATTGACTACACAGATAAGCTGGTGTTTTTGAATGATCTTACCAGATGTCATGACCTTTGCCCTCTCTTTACTTTCTTTTCTCCTTGTTTTTCTAGAGTGAAATACAGAGTCCTGGTTTCATTTATTTCTAAGAGTAGCTCTCATTAAAAGTGTGAGTTCTGCTTTGAAGTAAAACAAAAGAAGATGCTTCAAGTAGCATCATCAGCTCAAAAACATTCATTATTGGTTCACTACAGGACATTTTCATTGATAATACTATATTTTCCCTTGGTAACAGACTGCTGAGTGCTAGTCTTTCTTCTTAAGGATTTGTTGAGACAGTATCTTACTAGGTGCTTGATGAAATTGCTCTCATCACCGATGCATTTTGGAGATAATGGTAGGAACTGTTAGCAAGAATGATTTCTACATAGGTTGGAGAGGGAAAAATGTAAGGCATGCTGTCATTTGATACTCAAGCATCACTATCCATCTTCTTGACTGGCATTTGTCAATTGTAGACACTTCCCTGCCTCTGAACTCACTTCATTTCCCAGTAGCCTAGGTCTGATCCCACACTGGTGTTTACTTAAGAAAGCATATAGATAGGTTTTTTTAAATTATTCTTTAAAGAGTAAATGTGTTTGCACGCAAGTATCTCCTCCACAGTTTAGGAATAACTTACTTCCCTTGCTCTATTGCACAGCTTCTCACAACAACTTTCTTATACCATTTCCTTGTGATGTGCTAGCATTTCCATAGCCTGAGCTGTTATAAAGTGTTATAATAATGGTGTTGTGTCCTTCCAGCTTTTTATTTAATTAAATCAGTCCTTTGAATTGCCAACAACCTCAAATTGTTTCCTGTAAGCAAAGCATAAAGTATTTTATTTTATATAATAAATGGAATTAAAATGTGTTAAGTGTACAAATATTTCAAAAAATGTATACTATGTGTGCTTGCTCTGCACTGTTTAGTAAGTATGGGGATGAGTACCTTGGGAGAAAGTGTAGTCCCATCCTTGTAGACCTCACATTGCAACAGGAGTGGAAGTAAGTTGTGTGGTCTGTTACAGTGGAATAGGTGCCAAAGGAATAAAAATAGAATTAAAGCAGGAAAATGTAACTTCAGATAGCTTGGCTATGACGGGCCTTATAGTCCATACAGATCTGAAAAGGCAGAGGAGAGATCAAAGTGAATGAAAATAGAAACTACTTTCTTCCTGTTGCCTGCCTTTGTCCCCTGACTTTTTCCAAAGAAGTTGTCAAGCTGCAGTGTTTTCTTCTGTCCCTTTTCCTGCTCACTCCAATATAAATATGAAAGTAAAGATATTGAGTGCATCCTTTAAAAACATAAAAGGCATTATAAAAAACTATACATGTTTTGCAACTTGCTTTATTGACTTGAAAATCTATTAGAGTGCAGACCTTCTTATTTATTTATTTATTTATCAATTGTGGGATTTTAACTCTGGGCCTGGGCGCTGTCCTTGAGCTCCTCAGCAGGGTGAACATTCTACCACTTGAGTCATAGTGCCACTTCCAGTTTTCTAGCTGTTAATTGGCAATAAGAGTCTCAGGGACTTTCCCGTGTGGTCTGGCTTTGAACGATGATCCTCAGATCTCAGCCTCTTAAGTAGCTAGGATTACAGGTGTGAGCCACTGGCACCTGGCCTTTCTGTTTATTTTTAAAAATTATATTCTGTATCTTTAAGCAGTTGTACTAACAGGTAGTTTCAACATATTGACTTATGAGTACAGTATTTCTTGATCAACATCACTCTTACTTCCCTCATCCTTCCAAACCACACCTATCCCCACAGTTTTCCTAGTGCCTATTTATTTTTAATTGCTATGTAATATTACAGTGAGATGGTTTTTACTTAACCATTTTCTTCTTGGCAATGAAGGTGTTGTAACAAACATCATTTCATTAACTTTCTTTCATTTTGGAAGCACATACACAAGTATAGTATAGATGTTGGAATTGTAATTACTTTGGTGGACGTGTCTGCTTATTTTGAGTTTTTAGAGTTGCTGTCAATAACTGTACCAATGTACCTTACCTTTAAATATCTTCACCAGTAAAAATGCTTATCTGTGCCAAAGGTTCACAGAAGCGATCTTGGTTAGTAACATATTAAGATTGGTAAGATGCCACAATAAATGAGGTGTGTTTTAGGAATGTTTTCCTTGTGAGTCACTATGTCAACCTCCTGGGATACCTGGGGTAGAATCTTCAGATGTTAGAACATTGGCTGGAGGAGACAGAGAAAGCCAAAGTAGTGTAGTCTTTAGAGAGACAATGGAAAAACATGTTTATCTTGGGCGACATTTGGAAGTCTACCTAAATCTAGGAGCCTTTCCAGCATAAACTGGAAGGTGTGATGTTACATCATTTATCTTGTGATTCATAGCAAGGTATATTGGAAAATGGGTTCTGTGCTCCTAATTTGATATCTTATTTTAAAAAAATCACTTACTACTAATTAATAATTTGTGATAAGTAAATACTCATCCTTATTACTACTCCAGAAGAGCCTAAAGCTTAATAATAATATTATTATTGATAAAGTTAATTACTTCTACATGGAATTAGAAAACAATAGACAAAAAGAGGAGGAATACCTACTCTCTAGAACTTTCCATTTCTGTGGGGATTTAGGGAAGTGGTTCATTCGTGAGGATATACCTTCTTAGTTACTATCTCTTAATATGTATCTCCCAAGGAAGCTTGGCTTTTTTACTCATGGCTGGCATTCTGTTTCTTTAGCCACACCTCTCATCTGGCATTTTACTGGCTAACTAGAGATAGAGTCTAGTAGAGTTTTCTGCCTGGGCTTGGCTTTGAGCCAATCATCTTCAAAGGTCTCAGATACCTAAGTATTTAGGATTATAGGCATGAGCTGCTGATACCAGGCTTACATATCTTCGTATCTAAAACTGTTGAACTATATTATTCCAATGTTGGTCTTCTTTTTGGATTTTTTCAGATTATTATATATGTGTATGTGTGTGTATATATATATATATATATATATATATATATATATAATTTTTTTGGTACTGATACTGGGGCTTGAGCTTAGAGCCTTGATGGTGCCCCACCATTTGAGCCATACCTCCACACCTGCTTTTCTGGTGGTTAATTGGAGATAGGAGTCTCATGAACTTTCCTGCCTAGGCTGGCTTTATATTGTAATCCTCAGATCTTGGCCTCCTGAGTGGTTAGAATTACAGATCTTAGCCGCTGGTTCCCAGCTAAGTAATTGATTTTTTTGATGCTAGATATTAATTTGGTTTTATCTTTAAATTTAGTTTCCTGTGCTTTTATTTTAACCAAGAAGGGCAGTCACTAAGGCCTCTATTAAAGTAATGTTCTCTGTTGAGCCACACCTCACTTAAGCAGCACGAAAATGAATGATTCACCACTTTTGTCTCCATATGGGAAGAAGGGAAAGCTTTAGATACATGACACCTACACTCACTCACAGGTTTTAATATATTAGTATGGGTTGATGTCCAGACAACTCTGGTTTTTTTAGGAAGCTGCTCACATGATTCTGACTCATGGCTAACACGGGGAACTACTGACTAGGAGTAGTATATCTAGCTCTTAATCTGGAAGTGCAGTGTAGAATTCAGGAAGGTTGTGTCAGAATTCCTTAGGATTTTAATTTACTGTCTATAAGAAACTTGTAAGGAAGGAAGAAAGGGTTTTTCATAAACTTCGTGATAAAAATCCTTCTTGTGTGGTTGAAGTGCAGCAGTGCTGACACAATAGCTGTTGAGCTTTGTTCCCAAGATTCATTGGTTAATCATAAAAGTCTTTTCTTTTCTGACTCTTGGGTCTTATCCTGAGGAGAACATATATTTAGTGTAGATTTAGGTTCAATTAATTTTTCTGGAGATTAGATACATTATGAAGATCAAATTTGTTGTGATTGCTCCCTTTTTGTTTGTGTATTGATTTTGAGATAGGTCTCTTCTCTGTAGCCCAAGCTAGTCTTTGAACTCATGATCTTCCTGCCTTAGCCTTCTAGTGCCCCCTTACTTGGCTGCCTGATAGCTGTGAAGAGTTGCACTAGCTCTTTAAATTATTTTCAATGAAAGGGTATATTTCATATTCCTGTCAGCTCTCATCAATATGTGTTCTATATCAATGAGTAGAGAAAGACAAAGACTGGATTTTCTCCCTCTGAATGTGTTTGGATTATCTGGCATCATCATAGGCCACATTGACTTGGTACTTTAAAGATGCTTCTTTCCAATAGGTGTTATTTAGTGTAGTTAACTGAACTTAGGAGTAGTTTTGATGAAAGTTAGATTTATGTTCAAAAGTTATGTTTGACTTATGAGTTTCTGAAAGTAAAGTGTTTGGAATAATTCTAGATTTTCATAAATACTGCAAAGATAGTACCACATTCCCATGGACACCTCATTCAGTTTCTCCTATTGTTAATTTCTCATGTAGCCTTGGTATATTTATCACAACTCAAGAACCAACACTGCTACATTACTTTCAGATAAACCCAGGATTTTTTTTTCAGATTTTACTAGTTTTCCTACTGCAGATTCTCTCCAAGAGCTATGTCCAACTTTACTTAACTATTTTTCTATCTAAGCAGCCATTCTCTCAAATGCCAGCTTGTAGCAAATTGTTTAAAAGGGAAAAAAATCTAGTAAGAGTTTCTGTTATTGATCAGTGGCCATCCCCTAATCCCAGAGAGAGGATTATAATGGTGAGAGTTTGGTGTGTCCTTGATTGTTAAAGAACGAGTTTTTTGTTTTTTGTTTGTTTTTTTTTTTTCTTGTCGGTAGTGGGGCCTGAACTCTGAGCCTGGACACTGTACCTCAGCTTTTCAGCTCAAGGTCAGCACTCTACCACTTGAGCCACAGTGCCACTTCCAGCTTTTTCTGTGTATGTGGTGCTGAGGAATCAAACCCAGGGCCTCATGCATGCAAGGCAAGCGCTCTACCACTGAGCCACCTTCCCATGAATGTGTTTTATATGAGGACATCTGATCAATTTTCTAAGGAACCTTCTGCATTGCTCTAGTGGAAGCAGAAGCTTGTCCTTTTATGTCCATGCAGGGTAACACTTATACAGCAAGGTTGCAAGAATGTGAGTGGTTTGGTCCCATTGCCCAATCCAGTTGACTAGATCTTTTTCCCAGTGATGGCAGAGGCACAAGTGAGCTGGTCAGGAGATGAGGCCTTAAGTTACCTCCTCATAGGAAATGTCAATAAGGTTTTGGTTTTTCAGATTAGTACTGGTCTCATCCTAGAGGTAGGATATTCTGTCAATGGCGGTGTAGCCTTTGTAACTGAAACGTTAATACATATCGCAGAATCAGCTTGATGATAGGCCTTAGCTCTCTGGCTAGTTGTTTGTTCCAACATACTCATCCCCCTACCTAACATTTGTTTATGACCCTTTTCAAACATTTAGCAGCATTTACACACTTGATCGTGAGCTCATATACTGCTAGCCAAGGCCTTACTGTTATGCTTGCTCTATTATATAGGTAAGCTTCTATTGATCTATCCTTCCACCTCCCACTTTCTGAACTTTTTGGGGCATTTCAAAATAAGTACAGACATCAGGAAACTTCTTCCCATTACTTCAGTACTATTATAGTTATTCTTGGGAAAGCAGAGAGAGTAAGAATTTTATATTCTTAAACATTAGAAAACTCTTGTTCCCCCCAAAAATTACTGATGATTTCAGAATTGATATTATTTCAGTAAAGAGTAGATCCTCTTTTTATTTTTTTATTTTGTCTTTCAAGTGTTGCTCTAGGACACAGTTCACAAAAGCAGACCTTGAGGCAAAAGTAATTTGAGTATTTCTCTAGGGCCAGAATTCCAGCTCTGAGTGAAAAATAAAACCTATCATATGGTGTTTTTGTTTGGGAATTTTTAAAATTCACTTACCTTCATGTACTTTTAAATACAGCGAATTATTATTCAAAATAATAATTAAATGTTAGACTTTTACTGACTCGACATTAATGGCCCCCTAACTTTGGATCAGCAAAAGTAAGTTGCTTTCAGGTTTAAAATCTCAAGTAGTTTATGCTTTTTGTCTTTATCTGAGTGGTTCTCCAAATGCATATGGGCTACCCCAGAGAACTTGTTAAAGATACTGGTCTTCTCTGTTTCCATGAAATTTTGAATCAGAACAGGTAGGACCCAGGAGTCAATAGCACATTCCCTAGATGATTTCCACTACAGATAAGCAAAAGCAGTTGGCATCTGTGTTGGGAATCTCTGATGCTTTAAGATGTCCTGAAAATTATTGTCTCTGAGAATTGGGATGTCACATAACAACAGTGACCACATATTTAATTTTGGATTCCTTGAGTGTTGTAACAGTGGTTCTCTTAACAGATCTCGGTGAATGCCAGCAGTATCCCCAAGCAAATACAGTCCCTCTCTGTTCATGACTCTCAGGTATGTTCTGCCAGTCATTTCAATTTGACATACTTTGTGGAAAGAACTTTAGAACATCTGAGTATTTGAGACTGGTAGGCAATTTCAAGATAGTGCTTCCATACCAGGATTTGTAAAGTCTTTCTTATGAAGAAGAGTACTGTTGCTATTGGCTATCTTTTGCAGGATGTCCAATCATTAAATGATAGGTTCAAGAGCAAGACTACCAGAACTATTCTTAAATGGCTGGTTCTCTGGAAAATAAGGAACGAATATGACTCACAAATCTCTTATATTTCCACCACAACATATTGTGGTTAACTGATGCTTTACTTTTTGCTCCTGGTTGGATTCTTATAACCTCCTTTCATAGTTCTTTTATCACTGAATTTTATGAGCCCATTCATCTCTACAACTTGCCTTGTAAAAATTATAGGCAGTGTCTTGTGAAATATCTTTAATGCATAATTATAAAAGGTATAGAATACAACACCATGAGTCATGCTGGGCATTGAAGGATGCTCAGTAAACCAGCAGAAGAACCATGGACAGAGAGGCACAGTGCAGGCCTACATATTAGTTTTGTTATGTAATTCATAGACAAGCCTTTTAGCTATCAAAGTGATTATGCCTTAAAACATCATTAGCCTTATACTTTATTCTAAATATATGGATTCCATTTCAATTTATTTCTATTTTACCTGATCTGTGTTTTATGAAATAGCTATATATTGGGGAGATGGTTAGAGGGAGGAGTTTCATGGGTACTGGAAGTCTATTTGAGGTCTAATATCTAGTCCTTGGCTTTTATTTTATAGCTTAGGTCGCAAAGGCTTGCAGAGATTAGTTTGCAGCCCACTTCATTATATTACTTCCACAACAACCTTTGGGAATGTGTTATCCCTATTTCATAAATGGGAAAATAGGTTCAGAGAACGATTTGTCCATGGTTGCATAAATTGTCAGCACTGGGTCTTGACCTGAAATCGTGTTTTCTTTTTCACACTCTATAAGCAGTGCTACTCCTGTGGATGGCTTTGTGGAGAGTGGATGTTGAGTCATTCACCATTGATAATCTGTATTTAATGAAATAGGCCATAAGTGAGAGAAAGATAAAGATTCCTTACTTTGCCATCTTAAAGCTTATGGCCCACATTTAGTATATCACCAGGGCCGAGTGGATGACAGTCTCTTTTATGAATTAGATGGTACCAATGTAAATGGCTGCCACTCCTTTAGACCAGCTATTGTAAAATTAGTTATTCATAGAATCCATGCTGAGACTGAGGCTATGTAGGAAACATTCATACTAAAAAGTATGGCGGGAATTTGGTATCATTGTATTTCTCATGGGAAAGTGTTGTGAGAAGAAATATGGCCTGTAGGCATTGAGCCATCGTTTTTAAATTGTCAGAAGAAAAGAACTATATAAATTGACAGATACTGTGATTTTTATTCATTCCTTTCCCAATGAAGTTTACAACACTGTTTGCTGCTTTGTTTTTGAAGGGCCAACCCAATGCTAGTGAAGACTACAGAGAAGCCTCTTGTGCCGTGAACCTGGTCTTAAGATTAAGGTAAATAAAACTGTTCTTCACTTTTTAAAACATTTTTCCTACACTGTGGTATTCTGATCTCTCTCATCAACTTTTCATATTAGCATAGAATAAAATTTTTATCTTATTTGATTTCTCCCAAACAACCAGTGCATACCACATACCAAGAACTATATACAGTCTTAATTGCTTTCTGAAGAATATGAAAGAAACATACAGATGAGTGTCTGAAGGTTCAATGTACCTGTCATTAAAGTTTTCCTGCTTTTCTTTCTTATGTTTTCTTTAAACAATGTTAAGATCACAGTAAGAGATTTTTAATGAGTTTCTTTCACACTTCAGCAGTCAGTCTCCGACAGAAATAAACCATGCCTATACTACAAGTTGCCTGTTCGGAACATTTTCAGTGGCAGGTTTGATCAGCCACTGTGGAGAAATGACAGATATATTTTGAAAGAACTTTCACTCTTGAAGGAAATGGATACAAATATGGTACCTGACAGTTGATAGCTTAGCGAATGAAGGCTGATTCTATTTTAAACTTTTTAAAAAAAACTTTAAAATTCTATCTTTGCAGGTTCTTCTTTGTTAACATATGTTACATTTGAGTTGTTTATTAGATAACAAGGAGATGTTAAGTAAACATTTGGATGCATGGTTTTCTATCTGGGCAAGAAATGTAAATTTGAGAACTGTTGATGCATAGGCTATTTTAGGCTATGAAATGAGATGAATCACCTAAGTAGATGAAGGTAGAACAAAGGAGAGGGTTGGTACCCAGATAGCTTAGAATCCACAGACTGAAAGGAGATGCTGGTGAGGGAGAGAAGAGAGCGATTATCCTGTGAACCTGGTGGAACAAATGTTTCCAGGAGAGTTGAAAGCTACATCAACTGCTGCTAATAGACCACGTACAATGAGAATTAAGAATTGACCATTGTATTTGGCCAAATGGAATACATCCTTGACTTTGGCAAGAGCTGCTTCAGTGGAGCGATGGGAACAAAATCCTGATCAAACTGAGTTCAAGACACAATGGCAAGAGAAAAATAGAGTGACAGGATATAGCTAACTTGTATTATCCTGGAAAGCTCTTGCTGGAAATTCTTGACACAAGTGATCAAAAAATGGATGAGAGAAGCTCAGTGAGAATAGGGAGTTAAAGGAGATTTTAAGTAATTGGGAAAAATCCAGTAGAGAAGGAAAAATTGTATGAGAGAGACAATATTACAAGATTGATGCCCCTAAATCATTGAGCAGGTATGTCATCCAGACATCCATGTGGCTAGAGTTAGGAGAATGGAAAGTTCAGGGGTTGGGCAGTGCAGCAAACAATGAAAACAAGAGGAACTAGAGGCAGTTAGAGGTGTCAGATATTGGTAGATTCTAATAGTTTCTATTTTCTCATTAAGTTAAAGAATGTTGTCATTTAAACATGAGCAAGGGAAAGAAGGCACTTAAGGTTTGAGGAAAGAGGAAAATAATTGTGTAGTAGAGTGGGAGAGTATATTTACTAGGGGGATGTGGTAAAATTAACAGATGCACTAGGAATTCCTTGAGCTTCATGAGGATGAACTCTAAGTGCTTTTGAAATGGGTGTTGTCCCAGTGCTCCAGATGTAGGTTTAATGTGTGACTATAATTAAAATAGAAAATATAATAGTTCAAAGTTGTAGCATTGTAGAGTTGGCATGGAGATCTCGTCTGTGTAGGGTGAAGTCCCTAGCTCTCTTCTCTCAACATCAGTATCCTCTCAGAGGTCCAGCTTCCTTCTCCTAGAACTTGTCTAGCCTCAACCTCTCTTGACAATCAGAAGCCTGCACTTCAGCATTGGTGTTGTCCCTACAATTTCTTTACTTAGATCTTTCTACTTGAAATTTATTCTGGATCATTTGCTCACCTCATGAGCCAGTCTATGTGGCAGGAAGCTGGAAGAGTTTGAACAAAAAGTACTTGCTCTTTTCTGTAATGTTTTCATTCTGCTCTATCACAATACTTAAATTCTGACTTATCTACATCTACATCCACACACAGATACACATAGATGTGCACCCGGACAGAAGTAAATGTGTGTGTACATCTGCAAACATATCCATACGTGCGCTCATCAGTGAATCACTGGTCTACACTGTGTGTGGATAACAGTGAGCGTGCTTGCCTTTCTTGCCTCCTGAAGTTATTCGTGTATGATGTTTACTTTTGTTGTATTCTAAGAACTAGTAAATAAGAAACTGGTTCAACCAGCCTTTCATCAGTCCTTAACTAGTTCTGTGTGGGTGGCTGCCTGCCTTTCCCTCTTGGAAAGGTCAGTCTGACTTTTAAAAAACTATAACATTTACAGACCTACCTGCTAGGGGCATGGCTTCCTTCCTCATTGTGTACCTACCTGCCTTCTCCTGTTCACCTGTACCTCTTATACCTCCCTTTATTCTGTGAGTACAGAACTAGGAAATATTTACTTTCCCAAATAAATTGTGACTCTAGGTAGTATTTGTCTCCTTTATTCACTTCTGTTGATCATAGACAAAAGACTAAGGAGACCGAAATATATTACTGCCTTTAAAACTAGCTACTTATATGTAAAATTAGGAATATGGATTTAAAACGTAAGGTCAGTGTCAAGTACTGTGCATAGTTAAAATATAAATTTCTTTTTTTTTCTTCATGCACATTGCAAATGCTCTCTTGGCTATTGTGTACACAGTAATGTCATCTGATGATAAAAATAGAACATCATAAAGTAAGGTATAGAAAAAGGAAATACTCTTAAATGCAGGCAGAAAATACCAACTGGACCACCTTCTGATTTATATACTGTCAGGAAACAGTAATACACATTTTGGCTTGAGTGAAAAATTGTACATATATTTTATCATTAGTTTATTTTTTCATTTAAAAATTTCACAGAAAACATCTGATTTTTAGAATCATGTCATTGATTAGGAAAAATGATAGAACTATCAATTCAATTGTAAATTCCAGATGTCCACCCATGGGTGGCTCATACCTATAACTCTAGCTACTCAGGAGTCTGAGATCTGAGGATCATGGTTCAAAGCCAGCCCGGGCAGGAAAGTCTGTGAGACTCATCTTCAATAAACCACTAGAAACCAGAAATGGCACTGTGGCTTAAGCAGTAGAGCACTTACCTTGAGCGCAGGGACAGAGCCCAAGCCCAGAGTTCAAGCCACACGACCGACAAAGAAAAGGGAAAAAAAAGTAAATTCCTTTGTGTTCAACGCTGTCTACGCTTGGGTAACTCAACTGTATGGATGCTGTTTACATCTTTGCTGAAGGAATGTCGTATCAGCTTGCTTATAGCAAATGTGCCTTCTTAATATGTTAGCTGTACCCTAAGACATCAAGAGACCATTTAAAGGCCTCAGATCAACCTCATGACTTTCTTTCTATAGAGAAAAGTGGTCTCCAGAATATACTAGAATATTTTCCTCTTTTCTGTTTCATCTTTTTTTTTCTCAAAACTAAGATTTGAACTCAGAGCCTCATGTGTGCTAGGCAGGGGCTATACCACCTGAGTTACACCTCAATTCTTTTTAGGTTTAGTTGTTTTTCAGATAGAATCTTGAATTTCTTCTCACAATGGCTCCAGACTTTGATCCTCCTACTTTTAGCCTGCCATGTACCTAGGACTACAGCATATGCTTAGTGATTGAAACACTTTCTCATGGATGTTTTATCCTGCCATCTTTGAACCACAGTCCTCCCAGTCTCTATCTCCTGAAAAGCTAGGATTTTAAGTTTAAGTCACTGGGACTTGTCTTATTATTTTAATTTCTTTAGGAAAAGGGGCATTGTAAAGATCAGACAGATAATTTTGGTTTCAGAAAGAAAGTTAAATCTATGAGAAACAATGTCGATGCCTGTTTTAGTATTAGTGTGCCTGAATTCTTACTCTACCTTATCATTATTCAGGAGTTAGGCTTCTTCAACTACTTTTGAGCCTGGAAAATAGGCATAATTGCATAATTCTTACCAGTTAATTGGCTGGCTGAGAGGCTTAGTAATTTTTCCCCCAAAGGTTAAATAGTGTAGACATAGTGTTGAGTTGTACAGGGCTTTTTAGTATATGTTCTCCCATCCCTCCTAAACAAACCACTTATTTACTGCTTTTTTTGTGCAAGGTTTTATTGGAAATGCAAAGGTGAATAAGACAAGGTTTCTATACTCTTTAAGAGCTTACCATGGAGGTGGAGAGATCACAGCCTGCATAAATGACTCTACTACAAAGTAGAAAGTAATAAATGCAATAAGAATTGTGATAAATAGAAGCAGTATGGGTAGGTAGAGGAAGGTGAGGGATTTTTGTCTATAGATTATCCTTGGTTTGCTTGTTCCCATAGAAACTACTGTTTATGGTTTTTCTTTTCCTTTTTTTGAATTAATTTTATTGTCAAGGTGCTATACAGAGGGGTTACAGTTATATAAGTAAGGTAGTGAGTACATTTCTTGTCAAACTGTTATCCCCTCCCTCATTTTTCTCCCACTTTCCTACCCCCCTAATTTTACATATTGTCTTGTGAGTATCACTATTGCATTGGTTCTGTCCTTTGTCCCACCATTTTGTTGTTCGTCTTCCCTTTCCTAATTCAGATAAACATATATACAATTCCCAGGGTACCAAAATCAAATACAGTGATAGCAGGGGATAAACCATAGGGGAAAAATACAAAAGAAAAAAAGAAATCATAACAACCATTTTGAGAAGAGTAATGAGTAAGCTAAATCCAGGGGCAGTGTCAGACTGTGCGCCTTGAGGAAGAGCTTGAAGTCCTACATTATTTCTGACATGACTATGTTTGCTTTTCAGTAGGGTGTTACACATTGTTATGTAGATGCCAGATTATTAGGACTGCAGTTCTCCAGTCTCAAAAATATTTGGCACTTTACTTAACTTTTTAGATGTTCTTTTTGGGTTATTTTCTTTCTTTTGAGAATTGGAGTGATTGTTGTATATCTTAGCTTTATTGTTAGTCCTATCCTCCCAAAGGACTGAGTGCCTAC